ATACAATTTAGGGGGAAATATAGCAGCCATGGATTTATCCCGCGAAACTAAGCAGAAGAACAGAGAAAGAGAAAGAAAAAGAGAGAGAGAGAACATTATAGGAAGCAGAGAAAACAAAAAATTGATCATAGAAATCTTCTATGTCTCTGAGTTTTTTTATATTAGGAAAATATAGAAAAATATTCAAATATAAATGAAACTCTTGGATCTAATTGTTCTAACGCAACTATAAATCTACTTATTAATCTTTGCATGCCATTGTGATAAAAATGAAAACGAGATTAACACTAAACCTACCGACACTTTGTATATATATTTATTTATACCATCTTAAAAAAAAGATTATATTTTCATATGGAATAAGATTTTAGCAAATGTATCTTATTTTATTCAAAATTGATTAACTTAAATTTAATGTGTTTTCACCAAAAACAAGATTTCTAAATAATCTTTACAAATTACAGGACTCGATCATGGTACGTTTAGTGTTTAAAAGAAAATGGTTTGAAAAAGCTCGAAAGAAATAGTAAAGACAAAAATGGATCGCGATATAGATAATTCTTAACGAGTGATTGCATGGAAATGGCACTTGCGACATATGATTGCTCGTGTGCTACGAAAAAACTGATATGTTGCGTTATAAACGCTGCTACGATATTATGCACATATATCGTAAAATTATTGAGGATTATTTTTGGATTTCGTATGATGCTCGTTATATAAAAAAAAAAAAAAAAGTATATACCACACGCATAATCGCATTTTTGTTTCGTACGGCACGAGTGTCTCTTTCTATCATTCGCATGTGCACGTACGCAACAATTCTCATATGCACATTGAGAGATACACACACACACATACACACACAACACACATAGAACAGCAGACACACACATTACAGACAGAAAGATAGTAAACGGAAACGAGTCGCTTTCAAAAAAAGAAAACGAAATGAAAGATCGGTGCGAATAATTATTTGCTTTCCGTTCTCTGCTTGACAAAATTCAACCCCCCCCCCAAAAAAAAAAACTATTTTGGACGTTGAGAATAAACGTCTACGAGAACCCGACACGTGGAATTAGAAACTAAAGGTACATACGTTTACGTCTGTGCCGGAATGCTGAGTCTGATAAGATGGAAACGTCGCGTAGAAACGATTGACAAAGTACAATGATACCACCACCGTATATACAGTGTATATATCATTGAACATTTTTCATCGTCCTAGACTTTTTACTTTTCTTTTCTTTCATTTTTTATATTAATCTTACGTCCTAACGCTAGGCTGCTCAGGAAACCTCGTAAATTCTTTTCTTAAACTTTCTTCTTACGTGCCACCAAATATCTCTTGTGAGTATGATTTTCATGGCGTTGGATATTACAACAGCAATCAAAGATGTCTATCATCCGTAAGCTTGGGTATAACCGCAGCACACGCTTCTTAACGTTTAATTATTAGTATTTTTTCTTATTTCCTGGTACAACGCGGTCGACGACATTTGGGAGCATTACAAAGCGTTATCGTGCCTTCCCGCGACGTGACCATGAAACTAGCTTCCTTCGTCGCTTCTATACACGCCTGCTAGGCCCTTTTTTTAAAATTGATCCACTAGCAGGTCGCAGATCTCAACGGACATAGATTCTTTACTCGAACGCACCGTTAATCGGAACATCTGAAGAAAAAGTGTATACAGTTTATCATTCGTATAGTAAATTCATTCATCAAAAAAAATATTACAAAATATTACCTGAGCCTGTTTATTCGGTTCAAGACGTAATAAACATCCTACTTGTTGAGCTCTCATGTGAACAATACCAGCGCAAACGAAATTGTCGGGATTTGGATCGATTCCATCCAACAACTGCATTCCAAATCCTTGCAATTTTGTACGAACCTGAACCAAATCCATCGGTTGTTGCGCTTTGAATATTTTTTGCGAGCGTTGTTGATTCGCACTAAAAATATATTATATGTTCGATACAATACAACAGTTTTAAATTTACTTTCTTCATTTTAAATTTGCCTACCCTCCAAGATTCTTCCATCGTGCAAAGAAAGATTCTCCGTTCATCTCCGTTGGTTCAAAGAATTTGTTTATCGTTAATGGTAACTTCATAGTAATTTTCTGCGGTACGTTGTTATAAATAAAAGATATAAGCATACTAGGTGTGTCTGAAATAAAAACAAAATAAAATCATTAAGATTTAGTTGTGGTTACATTTCTAATACAGTTAGTTTACTCACCACTGTAGTCATCGATACATTCAGCATTGATCATCTGTTGAATTTGAGCACCAGCTTCCAAGACAGGATCAACGACCTTAACCTGAACAGCCAACTTTGCTTGATTTTCTTCCGACCACGATAACTGTGGTTGAAAACTATGTAATGCGTATTGAGTTTTATTGCCGTAGAAAAGACCAACGCGTCCTAGATTCTGTCTGAATTCGGATTTAACACCGATTTGAATCAAATCGTTCTCAAAGAGTACTCCATTGTTTTTACAAACGAATCTACAAGCAGACCATAAATATATTGACAAATGTATACTCTTCTATACGAATGATGATTTTTTTGTTTGAAATAACTCACTTTTTAGGATTGTACATATTTTGAGTACCGTTGGTTGCACCAACTTTATTTGGCATATTGTAAATATCACCTAAGACGTCCAGAAGAACACCAGTATTGCTCGTTGGTTGAGACGAAGGTGGCGTCGACAAACCTAACAGATCTGCAGAAGTATTGTTAACTGCAGAAACTGCAGTAACAGATGGTGCTTCCGCGTGATGATTGGTGTTTGGTGCTGGGCTTTTGCTTTCCCTTATTTCGTTCTCCGGTACACGGCCAGGTTTCTTTTTCTTTAAAACTGCAAGAATCGAAGATTCTCGTTCTGGGAACGCAGGCATTTCTTCTAGTACAGTTGCCTATATAATTTCATGCAAATATATATTATTAAATTTGGAACCTAAATGAAGAAATACACACACACATATATCTTTTAACATACCAATACATCAGTAGAAGCTATTATGCTCAATTGCAAATATTCTGATGCTCTTTGCTGAAGTTCGGCATCCGCGCTACGCAAATTGCTGTGTTGTCTAAAAACGTCTTGAATTTGGGTCCGTATTTCGGGGAAGAGATTAACAAATTTGATGTAGGTAGATAGCAATAACGCTCGTGTCATTGGAGAACACAAGTGATACTAGAATCGACATAGATGTGTTATCAAGAAGAAGGATACATAATTTATAATATAAAAAGAGAGAGAAAAGAGTGTTAAAGTACCTTGGAATGTAATAGTTGAAATTGTACGGATGGAGATGAACGCTGATCACCAGCAATAAGGTTACCAAATTCTCCTAAAATGTAACCACCGACTTTGACCATGTTTTCGTGACACGCCGGCGCTTGTAAAGCCTGAAATGTTTCTTATTAAAGGATCATATAGAAAAGATTTAATTAGGAATAAGAAATAATTCAATTTACCTCAAAAACTGTTTTAGCGGCATATCCTTGTACGTCATCTCTATTAATGACAATCTGTATAACTCTATACCAGACTTCTTCCGAGACATAATCACCAGCTATCCTGATTAGATTTAGGATAACGTCAACGTACCAAGTATAATCTGTAGCATATTTCTCCGCTAAAATGGCTACCTTTAAAACCATTTCCTCTCTGATAGAATAATCTGCAGTTTCGAGATAGTTTAACATTTCTTGTACTATTTCTTCTGCGTTACTCTTATCGCACATGGCATACAATAAATCTACCGCTTGTTGCCTTACTGAAACATCTTTTTCCATCTTCATAGATAATATCACTACCTCTTGATGTTTCTTCACAGCTTCGTGGGAAAATTCGGATGTGGCTAAATGGCACATAGACTCAAGTGCCAAATAACGTAGATTCGTTTCGCGATTTGATAAAAATTGGCCCAATTGATTGCACGCGCGTACTAATAAATTTGGTTCACTGTCATTATGAATAATTAGACTAATAGCCTCAAAAAGAACTGCGTTCTTTGCATTAGAATGTTGTACTTTCTTTGATTTTGGTGGTTCTTGAGCTTTATTTAATATCGTTTCCAAACACTCGTTTAATCTCCCTCTGACACCTGGATCTTCGGCTAAATATACAAATACAATTGTTAATAAGTCATGTTATAAATAAGAAAATTTGTCATAGAAATTGAATATTTTTCTACCTGGTGGGGTATAATTTTGTAACAATCGTAATAATTTAACAGACAGCCACGGAGCTGGCACGAAATAATAAGTATAATCTTGTAGATCTGTGTAATTCGACGTGACAATCTACAATCATAAAAGATTCGTTATAATAGTAAAGAATTAGTTTGATTTATAATAGTTGAAGAAGAGACGAGTAAATTCTGTTTGTAATACATACTCTGCTTAATCTGGAAACTGCGAGACTAACGCAACCTTTGTATTCGTCAGGATTTCTCTTAACAAGTGCATCTATCAACGATGCAGCTGCGGTTACAACTCCAAGATGTTGATCGTTCAAAAGATGTACTATGCGAGATGTCCATTCTCCGCTAGGAACAACGTCTGGGGCAGTACGTAATAATCGCAACAAACACAACGCTGCACTTTGCTTAACCACATCCATTGTATCCCTGAAATGAAAATATATATTATATATAAGCATGTGACATAACCTAGAGAAGAACGTAAAGAGTTTACTTACCCTGACACAAGTAACTTTGGAATTTCGTTTCCAAATGCTTCTGCCATTTCTTTACTACCAATATTAGCGATGCATTGCAACGCTAGATTTACATGAATTGGATTGCGAGACGCAAGATCATTTTTTATACTTTGGATTATTAATTTAATGAGATCACTGTTGGTGTTTACTAGAACTGATATAAAAAGATAACCCTGCAAAAATTATATAAATAAATATATAATAAAACATTCTTATATTTAAATGTATGTATACATAGAAGATGAATGCGACTTACAATTTGTTTTTCCGAATATTTATTAGAGGAAAGTAAGTTAACCGCTTCCATGTGCCCAAAATCGATATCATGACCAAGCAAGAAAATAAATAGAAGTTTGCACACATACTTTTTCTTCTGATATCCATCCAGTGTCTTATCACCTTTAAATTTGCTGCGTATATTTGCCAATTCCTTGTTTATTCTTTTTATTTCTGCCTCTTTACTTTTACCTGAACAATTATTACATTTTTCATAATACTTTACAATTAAAACTAAGATCTGTTTTATTAATCTTTCTTATATTTAAAAATGACATTTAATGATTGAAACTTCTGGACACATAATGACTACGTAGACATTGAATTGTTATATATATATATATTTTTTTTGAAAAGCTATAATGGCATTATGCCATTTGGCTGTTCATCAAGAGAACCAAATATTGATTTATTTACAATTAAAGCTTAAACTGCTAAACTTTGTTAAACAAATGAAAATGATAAATATAATATCATTGATTATTAGTTGAAGTAAATAATAGAACATCCTAATTTGTTTTTAGGGCACGCTGTATCTTTCCTAAACATTATCAAATTATTTTTATGCATCTGTGTTTAAAAGCAAAGCTATCAGTAAGATACTCTTATATCGGTTATATCAGGACTCCGCCCCCTGTCTCTTTACATATTTTATACGTCACATAAATTTCAATGGCAGTGCATATCTCAACGAGTAAACCAATAAAGACAGTTTTAGAATAGACATTCCATTTTTATTTCTAATCGCATTTGATTATTAAGGAGTACATATGAAAATATATTAATCGCTGAACTCACAATTCCTAATGTCTGAAATAAAGACTGCTAATCCTCGCATGCCATCACCTCTAACAGCCGGCATCTTGCCTCCTTTTGCTTGAACCACCTGTAATGTCAAATATATCATCAATGACGAGTATTCCTTCAGAGAAAATATTTAGATATGGTGTGTCCATTCACTTCACATGCTTAAGACAAAAATGACAGATGATTAAGTTAACTTTCTATTCGCTGTACATGATACCAATTAATTTGTAAAACAATAAATCAAATACAATTTTATCTAAATAAAAAATAGTATTAGAAATAATATATGTACTTTTTATCAATGACGAATTTGGATGGATAAATGATTTTGACAATAGTTATCACTCTCGTTAGAATCTCACGTAGTCAATAAAAACGATTAGCGGACAAAGGGAGATTCGTAAATCGTCGCGGTATCATCAAGAGAAGGAAGAGGAGAAGGAGGAGGAAGAGAAGAAGAAAAAATGAAGATGAGGAGAGGAGGAAGAGTGGAGGAGGTGAAGAAATTGTGTCGCGAATGAAGTACGACGACGACGACGACGACGACAACGAAAAGGACGAGAATAGGAAGAAAGAGATAGAGAAAGAAGAATAAGAAGAAGTAGAAGGAGAATAGAATCGTCTGACGTATCGATCGAAGTAGAAAGAGAGTAATAGGAGTGTAATGTAGATATTTCGGCGGGGAAGAGAGAGATCGGTGGCAAGCTGTCTTTTTACTGGACGCGCGGGGTAACGTAGGATGTCTGCCGTACGGGATAAAAGTTGRGATAATTTTTGGAAAAATTCTCGATAGGATCTGTCAAATGTAAGATAAAAATTGTTTAAAGGAAAGAATACATACCGATCTGGGTTAAGGACAGCGTTCAAGCGCGGCTCGGTTGCGAAGTGCACGGTGAGCGTGAAACTATTCGCGAGTCGGTGCCAAAGATTTCGTGGCTGTCGCCATTTGCAATCGTTCACTGGTTGACGGCTCGACGGTATAGAACAACGCGCATGCGCCCTGATACGCGCGCGAAAAAACTTTATTCTTTAAATCGTTCGAGCTCGCGCCATCATCTTTTTTTTTCTCTTTTTCCTACCTTTCTAATCGATTGGTCGATAAAACCGAATTGTTCGTTCGATTATTTTTTCTTTTAAATAAGTACCGCTGTATTTAAAATTATAGGAAGGAATGTACAAATAATTATTTTAATTTATAGTTAAGTTCACATCGTAGTCGTTATTTTTTAATCAATCGTTCGTTATTTTATTTCTTTTTAATTCTTTTGTACACCGATGACAATTACATTTAACGAAAATAGTCTACGTACGAGCAAATTAAACTCGTAACACATACTTTAATCTAAATATATTATTTAGATTTAAATATATTGTAAATGTATAATTTACACAGTGACATCGTTGTTTTTATCTTGTTGTATTTTTTGCAATAAAAGTTCTATTCTTTCCTTCATTACGGGTTGACCCTTCTTCGTTTTTTTAGATAACTTTTTATATTTTTGCATTTTATTCTCCTTGTATTTCCGTAAAGCTTCTTTCTTTATCGTTAGTATTCTTAATATTTCTTCCTTTTTTCTTTTCTTATCTGCCTTCTTCTCTAAGTATTGACTCCTTGCAAAGTCAAAGAAGCTGGGACTTTTTTTTGGCCCGCTAATGCAATTAATAAAACATTAATAGATCAAACTTCGAAGCAAGTTGATTGAACTTTGAAGAGTTGTTAATAATTGTTTACATTTAATGATCTTACCTCGTTCCTTTTTTAAATTCAAGTTTATTCTGTTGACCATGCTCACCCCTGTGATTTTTATTATAAAAATCACGTAAAATAGCTACTGTTTTTCGTAATTGCCATTTATGAACTATCAAAAATATAACACATTGAAAGTATTAGAATCTAACCTAAAAATAATTTACGATCGCTAATCGCAACGACATATATAAATTCTTTCATTTTCTTACCTTTATATTTATTACTATACTTTTTTAATCTATATTTTTTCTTGTCAAATATTTTTTCACTTTTGGGCATTCTTGATTCATTATTAAACACTTTTTTATTTTCAACCCTATTCTCTTGTCTCTGCATTGCGTCGAATTTTATAACCTATGTAAATACACATTCTAGTTTGACCAACTTCCGTTGATAAACTTGTACAAATTACCGTCAGAGGGATCAAAGTCGCGACAAGTGGCGCCTCAAGGGGCAACTATTCAAATGTTTTCTTCTTATTTGTGATTTTCTACAAGTACATTGTCTATTATTATGGTTATCTTATTCACGAAGCTCCGGAATAAGCTCTAATTCGATGTAATCGCTCAATCTTGCCTGCTTACTTTATTCAATCTTATTAAATTTCTAGCCACTGCATTCGAAGATTATTCCCCGTTATTAGGTTAGATTATTATTTTTTTTTCTAATACTTTCTTTTTTTTTTTATTTATTTCGTGTTTGTTATTTATTCCTTTCTATTTCAGACGAAAAATGAAAGAGTAATTATTAAATAGAAGTACCTTTATACAAATGCTTTCAATCGTTACATCATCAAAAATGAAGAAAGGTTAAGGTACTTGCGATACAATGTTGCATTCTTGGCAACAATCCACCTTTCGCATTAGCACGCGCTCTAATATAAATACATGTTGCATGTATTGTCTAGAAAGATGACAATTTATAGGTAAAAATAATAAAATATTGATTACAACACAAAATATTTGTTGCAACGTTTTAACATTGATGATCTCGTTCGATAATCGATTTAAAATTCAAAGAAGGATGATCGTACAAACAACGTCCAACAAAAAAAAGGAGACAAATAAATTATCATTGTTGAGGAGGGTTCGCTTAAAAGCATTTAATCTTTGGAGTAAGAATAATAATTGTATGTAAAGTCTTTGTTGTAAAGGATAACTCATTTCTAAACGAAGTTTGGGCCTTTCAGATGGAAATGTGTATTTGCTGGTAACCAGAAGGTCTATTCTTTGGAAATGATTAAAACGTCAAATGTTGAAGGAATTTCGTTAGACATTATGTTCAAGTTTGGTACGTCGAAGAAAAGAAGAAAAGCAACTTCGTGGAAGAGATAGCATCTCCTCGGTACGCGCCGAGAGTTATTAATAGCTAACCAAATCCGACACAGCCCTAGTATCCGAGGCCAAAGACGTTCGAACGAATTCTTTAAGCGTTCAACGAATCTCTCTCACTCTCTCTCTCTCACTCTCTCTTGACCATTCTTTAACAATTCAATGTCGAGGATAGGAAGAAAATAGGACGGTTTCTAGAACTGTTTGTCTTATCTTCCTCGAAGAATGAAGATCTCGGTTGCAATAGATAATAGATCTCGTATGCAACATTGCGATAGACAATTTAAAAACTTTCTTTAAATTCTTACAACTAGATACGGTCATTCGTATCATGTGTAACGAATTCATGCTCTGTCCATATTAGGGACGTTGTGACTCGTTCTATCGATCAGCGTAACCCCCACATAGATGACGTCATACGAGTCAAGTTCCCCCACGCAGAGAAAAGACAAACGTTTGAAGATTTTGCTAACTATGTTTAAAAAGATTGAAGAAAAGAGAGAGAGAGAAGAAAAAACCGGTTTGCAGGTCTCTCTTTTCGAGCATTTACTATGGACCCGCAAGCTTCAAAGATTCTGACATTGACACAGTTTAATCATCGACCTTCCTTTTCTCTTCTTTTAGCGACCTTATCTCTGTGATGTAGTAGTCACACACGTTATATGACAACAAGCAGTATATACAACATGACTTACGTCATTTATAACATGCATTTCTAAATTTCAATCAAATTAATCAAATCTTTCTTCTACAGCTGATTTAGCTGTTAGTAGTCGTTGATTTAAATTTTTCACGGTAATTATTTGATGGTAGAATTATATTTATTATCGAGGTTCGTTAAAATCGAATCTGAAAGTTTTTGATAGACCGTCATATATCTAAATAGCCAATTATCAGCGTGAAAATCGAATTATCCGCGACTAAATCTCGTTAAACTCATTCACGTTTGACGGGCGTGTTGCCAAGGAATTCGAATGCCGAAGGAAAAGCGATGTAAAAATATTTCACGATGTGTTTCGAAAGAAATATTTTCGTTCGAATGAATCGATCTTTAGTGAATAAGAAGAGTCTCTTTAATATCAGACATCGTTTTACCACGTACCGGCACAATAACCTCGGAATCGAATCGATTTTTTTTTTTAAAAGAGTTGCGCATTAGCACCGATTAAAAAGAGAGAGAGAGAGAGAGGGAGAGAACATTATTTATAATTACTATTCATTATTTCCTTATTAAAAGGGCTTTTTAATAAGGAAACGATAGTAAGAAGAGTATTAGTCATCGCAATTCCTTCGGTGGTATTCAATGAGTGTTTTATCTAATTTTGAGATGATGTTTCAACTACGCCTACGAAAATCTACTTATTTACGTTTTACATACGTATCTTGTTTTTCTTTTTTTATTAATAACAATCGATTGCAAAGTAAATCGAGTCATAAGTAACTTACGTTGCAGTTAAATGACGAATAAATTAATATAATTTAAAATAAATGTCTAATGCAAAAAAAAAAAAACAACGAAAGTTACTGATGACTCGACTTGATATATTAGCGCAAAAGTGTGCATCCGTTTCAAACTCCATTTTCAATTAATTAAAATGAACAAAATGATTAATTACAAAAACGTTAATCTTAGTTTTACAAACAATTGAAATTTCAAGTAAACTTTCCAAATGAAAAGGTTTAAATATCTAGCGCGTTTGACTTCGAGATATATCGATATTCGATGTGTCGAAGCGCGTGTTAGAGCGAACGATGATAACCGAGAGTGGGCGAACATAACCGAAAGGAGCCGAACGTCTCAATGATCTTCGCGTAACTATTTAAGGAGTCGGGAGCAAGGCGCGCTCATTCCTAGAACAAACGTCGAAGGGTATACTTTTTGATTCATTTTTATTTTGCTTTCCATTCATCGTTGCTCGCGATTCAAAAATTCAAGTTTTGTAACACGTGTGATCTCTATAATACCAAGTAGCATATTTTTTCGAGTGGGTCAGTGAAAGAGAAAGAAAGAAAGAAAGAAAGAAAGAAAGAGAAGAAGAAGATAGAAAAAAGATAGAAAGAGATAGAAATATCAGGAAGCAAGAAGAAAGAGAGAGAAAGAGAGAGAGAGAGAGAGAGAAAAAGAGAAGATTACAAAAAGTTTTGTGTACACGGGAAAAAATATGGCTGATAGTGGAATTAAACGCAACATTCCCATCAAGTTGGGTGACTTTAGCGTTATTGACACCGAATTTTCCAACATAAGGGAACGTTTTGACGCCGAAATGAGGAAGATGGAGGACGAGATGTCGCGATTCCGCAGCGAGCTCATGAATCGCGAAAGCAATTTCTTTAAGAGTACCACCAGGTAAGAATTTTATTTTAATATATCATATTAATAATAATAATTATTCTATCAACTTGTATACTTTTTATTCTATATTCTACGTTCATTTTATTATTCGATAATTTGACAACACCGTCTTTTTCGATATTCCGAAATTAAAGGGCAGCTTATTACAGAAAGTTGACATTTATAATCTTAGACAGATTTCGATTAACATTAATTTATACATTTGTTTTAAATATTTATCAATGGGTCACAATGTTGCAAGAGATAGAAATGGTTAACACTAGATATACCAGACCAGTCATTTTGACTGGTCGGGCTATTTTAATTCAAAATTTCTACTTCATGTAACATTTGAGTTCTGTAAATAATTAAGCGTTTTGTTATTTAAAAATATCTATAAATTCATTTATTTATTAAAATTATTATTGTTAAACATTTTTTATTATTTTTTAAGAATAAATAAAGACTAGAAGCCTCAAAAAGCATTTTTTTTTTTTTATACACCAGTCATTTTGACTAGTGTGGTAGAAATAGGTATACTGAAAATGGTGATATATCTAGTGTTAAAGGTGTTTAACGTTTAACGTTAAAGACGAAGCAAAAACGATACTTCACATTTATCTCGTACAATTTCGTAAATACGAACATGAGTACTAATTATTTACTGTGTTAGGTTAATCTACTATTAATAGGTATTAGCATTACGTACCGTATAACATAGTCATGTTTTCTCGTTAAAGCTTAAACGCAATTGGTTAGAATCGTCGAGAGATCGGTACGCATTTCGATTTTTCACTCCTTAAATTTGTAAATTTTCTTTTTAATATCAATGAAGTTTGATTTTTCGATCATATATTCATCATTTTCTTTCTTTCATTCTTTCTCGTCTGCAAAGCTTACATAGGTCGTACGTTCCAGTTATTTTTAGATCTTCCGTCACTGCATTCGAAGACGCAACCCAAACGCAGCTCTCCACGATTTTCAATCTTGTATATACGGGATAAACGTGGGAGCTATGTATAGTACAAACTGTATAAGTGAGAGAGAGAAAGAGAGATAGGGTGAAGGGAAAGAAGGAAATGAACAAAAGACGCGTACAAATATCCTTCTCCTTTTTCCTACTTTAAACGGATCGATACGCGCGCGCGCGTGTGTGTGTGTGTGTGTATTTTGTGTTGAATGATGAGACAGTAATTAGTAAAACAATCATTAAAAAGACTTGTTCCACGTGTCACCAGTCGTGTAGTCAAATAAATATTCATGACTTAAGTTAAAAAGTATTATTAACGGATTACCTTTTTTTTCTAACGTAATCACATCAATGTAAATACTGCGTAATACATGAAATGATGAATTTGATCACCTTACGCGTGTCCCAGGTGTGTCTGAAGAACACTTCCGTTGTTGAATGCATCGTTTCTCGCAAGATTGAATCCCGATACTGAAGTCATTCCTCGTTTGGTGTGTCCCTGACAGTAATAAACGCACGTTGCACGTTCATCCACAAATTTGTTTCCCCCACTATCGTTTCTTACGATCATGCATAGAGTTACTACGACACACTACGCTCTTAGGAAGGACCGTGAACACTATGCGCAATAGTTTTAACGCAACCTTGCAATTTGACATATGCGTATTGTGCTTCGTTCGATCGTAACGACAAATTTCTTGTTTTTCTATCATACTCCATTGTTTTTCCAATGATTTTCACTCAACGCGACGAGGATCTTTATCCTCCGAGGCATAAAACTGTTATCAAGTTACGGTAGGTTTATGATTTTAAATAAATGAAAAAAAGAACCATATATATAAGAATGTGCATCGTGTTTTAGGATTAATCCGAATAACTGATCAGGAAAACTTTCAAATCGATATCTTGTAAGCATCGTTACATTTTCCCATAGTTATTTTTTCATTTAAATAAAAAAAATCTAAGTAGTTCGTTAAAGTTCGTTCAAGTTATAAATTGTTAAGTGCAACGTGTTCTAATTGTGCTTCCTTCACAACGTCTGAGCTTTCATTGACGAGCCGTCAGGAGTTAAACCCCCTTAGGCTTTTAACAATTACGCCACTCGAGTAACCATGCACGATGCGTGCTGAAGAAAGATTAGCTCGCACGAACGAGTCCTGTCTAACTATAACTCCTATAAACGTGTTTTCTCTTGATTTTCCTCAATGAGGGGCTGCTAATATCTCAGACATTTCATCCTTACTCGTTTAGGCATTTTACAGCAGGGATTTTGTTAGGTTCCTACGTACCTTCAAATTCTTATTTTTAACCTTTTAGTCACTGCTAAATATTGCTGTTTCTCTGTATGGCAGGTTTCAACGAGAATTACGTGTAAACGATAAAACTACGATGTGTGATGCAAATGAATTTTAATCAAGTTTTTCATGATTAAATTATAATTTTATCTCAAAGAAATGATACACATATACTTCAACTTTAACAATTTACTTTAACACGTTGCCGCAAACTTTTAATTTGACGATTGTGCTCAGAAACACAAAGATCGGACGACTATAATCGTCATTTGCGACAACGTGTTAATAATTATAATAAAATTAGGTATAATATATTTTAAAAGATGTTATCCGCGAAAGCCACCATAGTGGCGTATCGTACTGGAAGATGTTATCCGCGAAAGCCATTATACGCGTCGTATTGGAAGATGGCATTCGCGAAAGCCACTATAGTGGCGCGTTGTACTGGAAAATGCATCCACGAAAACCACTATAATGGCGTGTAGTGCCTAAAAGGTTAAGAAATATGGAAAAAATTTGCTTAAATTACAAAAATCAAAGTAATTCGATCGAGATATCGAAATGCGTCCTCGAAATCGTCGATTCTCCTATCGGATTTTGAAAACAAAAGATTAGACGTCATCTAACTCGGATTATCATCGAAAGCATTTCGTGAGAGATTGCAATAACGCGAGAAAGTGCGATAACCCGCAATAACTTGCTAGCTCTACTGACAGTCAAAAACTCGAATAAAACAAATACAAACTTAAAAAAACTAACCCAGCAACAGAAAATGACAAGAAATTAAAAAAAAAAAGGCTATTAATTAATAAATTTTGTTCCCTTTTTCTCCCTTTCCTTTAATCCTCTTTTTCTCTGACTCTATTTTTTTCTTGCTTTCTTTCTCCATTTCCGCCTGAACTATCTCTCTCTGCATTGGCACACGTTGGTGATTAACAACAACAACAACGAATGTGAAGTCGGCATCACACGAGCAGCAGCGAACACAAAACTTCGACGACCTCGAAGAGTGATGGTTGGGACAAGGCCGAGCCTACGGCATCATCGGCACGATCGACGTTCGATAACTTTAAAAGGTGAACTTGCTTCAACGACAACAACAACATCAACAACAACACCCAAGTGCATCGTCCAGGCCAACGAAAAAGAAATGAACCATTTGATGTCACCTACACACTCGTAGAAACCTTTATTCCTGTTTCTTAATTCCTCATTTATCCAATGCTTGCTAGCAAACTTCATGTAGAACTTAGTATAAACCTAATGTATTTATTAGATTGTAGTTTTTTTTTTAATAGCATGTTTATCATTGCGTTTACTTTTTTATAGTAGTTTAATGCGTTCACGATCAATTTATAGATTCATTACTCGTTTATTCATGTTCTCGGATGATAAAACAAATAGAAGAAAATTATTTTTCTTCCAATGTGTTATATAGATATATATTATCTATCATGTTAGTTTTTACGTTCATTATGGCACTTTGTCTTCGTCTTCGTTTTATTCGTCTTCGTCTTTCATAGCACAGAAATCGTACATTGGTCAATTTAGGCAGGCACGTTGTAAATCTTCATCTTTCTGTTTCTTCCTTTTCCTTTTTTTCCAATTGTACGTTGCATCATCATCGTAGGTTAGGAAAATTCATAAATGTAAAAAATCGCTGTCCAACTTAAGTTAAGTTAAGCGAATTGATAAAAAACTATTATAAATATTTGTGAACAAAGTTGTTGTTCTTTCTTATTCGTTGAAATTATTTGAAAATTATGTTACGAGTCAGTTGGACAGCCGATTCTGATTCAACTTCAGCCAAGTAGTTTTTTTTTTCTACTCGTTGTATGTTTATCTTTTCATTTTTATTATATTATAATAGGATCGTTTGATAAATTTTCAGCTCGACGACACAACAGAGCAGCCAGAACAGCTCGCTGAGTCCTCAACATGATTCGACTTGGTTGGATGGCCTTAACAGTCCTCTCATACAGGACGAGGGTGACAGTAAAATGTTAAAACTACGATTCGACGTGTCTCAATATACGCCCGAAGAAATCGTCGTCAAGACTGTGGACAACAAATTATTGGTGAGTTTATAAAATGCATTCCAATTAAATAGGATCAAAACTTCATAATGGGGAAATTGTTTTTGTCAAAATTTACTTCAGAAATGTTTAACACGTTCCGTACTATGTGGGTCGTATACGACCCCCACTACATTTTTCGTTCGAGCCACTTGGAATCTTCAACAAAATGTAAGATATACGTCTTAAACAACAACTTTTTGTCTAATCTTTAAAGATGTGGATCATATACGACCCACGCGGCCTGAATGGAAAATCATGAAAGATTACCGTTGCACGAAACCTGTTAAAAAAAATTCCACAAACTTTTGATTCACCCTAACGGGTTTTGAAAGAAAAGATAGCTTCGACGTTAAAATATTATAGTCTGACTCATGATAGCTAAACGAATATTTTGCGCAACCCTGCTGCATTTTGGCAAGATGCAAATCTGGTTCAGTGTCTTGCGCAATTGGCGCCAATATTATTAGTTGGCCAATATTATTAAGACCATATGGCGTGTCCCATTGTTATTCGTATATTAAACGTGTTAATTATATTTTGGAATACTTTGGAAGGGAACATCATTTTGTGGTCTTCGTGAACGACCTGGAACGTTCTAATTGCACTTGCTTACGTCACTTCCCGTTCGGGGAAAACTTAGGTTACCTACCAGCTTTGTGTTACGTGTAGAATAGGAACGAAACTATACTTTGTTTCATTAGATACGCTAATTACATTAGAACTTATCTCTCTAAACGAATACTCTTGGAAATATTTTCTTCTGATCATAGAAGATGATAGAGATTTCGAGATGTGAAAAGACGGTTTTCATCTTCTTCTTCTTCATCTTCATCTTCTTTGGCCGACGTTCTTGTTGAGGCTTAGGATAAAAATAACTGCTACCAAAAATATATTTTATGCCAACCCGTCACGGCGGAGAAACCAGGATAATATTCGACCATTATGAAGAGTTACTTCTCTACTAGAATATTAGAAACAATTACTTCTTCTTCTTCTTCTTTCATATTTTTTTCTTCAACATTTCTTTTAACTCGCTTTATTTATCTTTATTTCGATCTAATGTTTTCTATTTCTTCAACCGCGATAAGAATGTGAAATGATTTTCTTATTCTTCTATCATTCATCGTAGAACGTATTACAACAAGCGCGATAAGATAATATGAAATTATTAAAACAATCAAATGATCGATGCTCGAGTTATCTTATTTATTAAAAAAAAAAATAATAATTAAGCTCTGAGTGAGTAGAGATACAATTAGGGGAATAATATATTAGGTAAACCAGAAAATAAAGTCGCTTTTTAACCTCAAAATTCAAAGGAATACATTTTTCAAACAAGTTTTTATTATAAATCAATAATTAAATTATTAATCACGTTATCAACAATTTTTTTCTATTTGGTATGCAAAATTTTTAATATCGTAACGATAAAAATTATTAAACGATTTTTTGATTTAAAATATTATAAATAATTTGACATGCGTAGTAACGACATTATTTTTCAATATAATGTAATATTAAGTGGATCGGAAAGTAATGTCACTTTTTAACCTCAAAATTCAAACGAACAAATTTTTCAAACAAGTTTTTTTTATTAATCAATAATTAAATTAATTAATCACGTTATTAACAATTTTTTTCTATTTGCTATGCAAAATTTTTAATATCGTAACGATAAAAATCAGTAAACGATTTTTTGATTTAAAATATTATAAATAATTTGACATGCGTAGTAACGACATAACTTTTTGTCTGCCTAATAGTACGGACGCCGTTATGCAAAGCTACGGAAACAAGGTCGTTGCACCGGTTTTCTCTTCTATCCCTTTTTTCGTCTCGCTCAATAAAAGGTCTCCTTGACTTTAATTTCATTTATTAATCAAAATTATCCTCTCTCGTCTCATTATTTAAAAAAGAAAATATAATCTTTTTGCACATTTTGTATTATTCTCGTTAAATAAAAGCAAACGCTATAATAAAGCATTTTTTTACATCAGATTGCGTCATCCTTCATCGAAGCCAATTCATTATTATCTCATTCCTTTTGTAAATGCAAATGAGGTGATGTCCAGCCTTTATTTTTTTTCCTTTTTGTTCGAGCTTCGATAAAAACAAAATGGCCGTTCGTAATCGATCTCCATGATTCGACAAACTTTAATCATTTTCCATACGTGTCCCTCCCGATTTAAAAGATGAGAAAAGGAGGAGAAGATGGATTGCATACTCGAAAGCAGGTTGTTAATTTTAATCGTGGTCAAGGACCAATTTATTCAGGTTGAAAAGACCTCGGTACGACGTACGCTGTCCTTAAAAGGTCCTCCTTTTTGCATCAAGGACGATTTAAAGCGAGCGTAATCGCGGATAAGTAGTTCATTTTTCATTTTCATGATGTGATAGGGAAAATAAGAATTCTTTGAATGTTTTCTTTTATTATTATTATTATTTTTTTTTTTTTATCTAAAAATAGGATAGAATGAAATGAAACACAGAAAATTATCTGAGTCGTAACTTAACATAAGTAGAGGATAGGAGAAGAAAAAGGGACGGACGGAAGGAAATATGTAAAGAGAAACTCTCGCGATGACTCATCAATGATCCGTATTTAGTTACTTATGTAATTCCAGCACACGTCTGTGACCCAAGCAAGATATATATATATGTCTCGTTGATCGCGATTATAGCGTAAAAGATTAATTTATTGTTTTCTTTTCTATCTAACGTGTCGTACTCGAAATAACACGAAAAAATGGTTTGAAATTTAATCGAATGGAATAATCGATTGAAATATCAAATCAAAACTGACCTATTGTATTTGAAAATAGTAATGCATAATAAACAAGGATGAAATATTCATTTGACTGTATTTAATAGTTTAATATTATATTAAATAAACGTTTTTTTTTTATAACAAAGTCACAGTAATGCATGGCCGAGTTCACCTAATTTTGTAGTAAATTATAAAATTACATAAAATGATACTTAAATTACAATTATATACATAATAAATGTAATTATTATGTATGATAATAATTATTATACATAATATTATATTAAAATTACAATTACATAATAAATAATAAAACACGAAAATATAATATATAAAAAGTAAGGTTTTGTTAAGTCATATGTAAATCTGAAAAAAACGTGAAATAGTTAAATTATTATGTGGCGTCATCTATTGAAAACTTACAGTACTTAGAGATTTAGATAACCTCTAAATAATAAATCTTTCAAGTAAATCAAATCAAATTATTAAAAAATCGCGATAAAAATTACTCTATATTCTAAGTTGTATTAAATCACACAAAATGAACAAAATTTGATTAAGATCGGTTGAATAATTTCGAAATTCATCTTAAATCAACTTTAGTATGTAATACTGAATTTTTGTATATTAGGTTGTCCTAAAAGATTTTTTTTTTGGGGGAAATTTTACGGGCATTATACTTTTTATGTTAAATAATTTAAAATATAGAAAAAAAGGTAAAATAGAGTAGAATTGATATTATTTAGTAAAATAACGTAAAATACAATTTAAAAAATAATATATTACGCATACAATGTTATATATTAATATATTAATAATATTTAATATAATAAGAAAATAATTAAAATTAAAATAATAATAAATATATGTATATTTTATCACCAAAAAAAAAAAGGAAGAAATTTTCGGGACAACCTAACATATAGGTTATGTAATTTCAGTACATCTGTGACCCAAACAAGATAAAAGATTAATTTATTGTTTCAATTTCTACTTAAAATATCGTACTCGAAATAACACACAAAAATGTTCTGAAAATTTATTCGAATGGAGTAATCGATTTAAAATGTCAAATCAAAACTAACCTTAAAAATAATAATGCATTAATAAAACGCGGATGATCGAAGGGGTAAAATTTAAAGTATGATACAAGATATAGTGTAATAGTTGGTAAGATGATATTTAAGCAAAGGATGAGCTTAAGTTACATCTACGTGTATTCTTTTCTAGTTGGCAACTTCTAAGATTACCCTTAACGTAATTCTATTTGAAAAAATAGTGAAGAACAAACCGAATTTAATTCGAGTTGGATTCTTTTTCGATTGTTTTAACGAACGAAAATAAATCGAGAGTCAAATTTAAAAGTAGAACGTATTCTTGCGCGTAAGACAAGGTGAAGGTTGCGTTAACTTGGCACCAAGATTACTTTTAGAGAAGAACCCTAATCACGGATTGGTAAGATTCGTTAGCGCCTTTTACATAACACAACACACAACACACACATATACACACGTTGCAAAGGAAACTATAGTAACTTTGTCCTCTCAAGCGTAATCCTGCACCTGCATTTTTTTGTTCTATTCACTTTTGATCCACTCCCATTTTCTTCTGACGAGAGATCAATTTTTCATCACTCGGCACACCTATCAGTGTCATTGTTTTTTCGATCATCCTCTTTAGGATCGTCATCGAACCGAATAATAAATGTTTATCTTCTATAATCGAATTCTTTGGTTTGACACGCAAAGAAAAAATTCATTTCCTTGTTCTTTTTTTTTTTTTAAAAAAGAGTTTTACAAACAAGAATAAACTATACTTTATTATAATGAGTTTAAATTGAAATGTTGTATGTTTTCTATATACGTCGATGACTACACAACACGATAATAATCGTGATCGATGACATAATCAAAGATTTGCAAGATACACTTGCATATTGTTGCAACATTTTGTTTTCTTTCAAAGTCAAATTAAAGGAATTGATTTATGTAAAAATTGTTACAAATTTGAAGAAAGCTTTCGAGCAAAGCATCTTTTATTTCTCGTATATCGATTCGAGTCATAGTTTGGTTGAAAGTCGTGTCGGCTTGGGTCGCGTTAACTCGGCCTTCGTCGGTTTTTCTTTCTCTCTTTCTATATATATATATATATGTGTGTGTGTGTATATATATACAGTTAAACCTTGGATTGTGAGTAATGTGGTTTACGAGTGTTCCGCGAGACGAGTAAAAAATGTTAATTTGATAAACGAGTATGATGGCAATCTTTGCATGCTTGCTATAAACATAAAAACAAATTACCCTATGCGAGGTTGTTTTATTGTTGGTAGAATCTTTTTTTAAAGTTTTGTTTTTTACTCGTGAAATTTTTGGCCGGATAAGTTATATATATATACATATATGCACAAAAGTTTGTGTAGCAGTATAATTATATTCGAATTAAGTTTTGTCTTGAAAATATTTAATATTTTGGAAAAAATCCCAAATGGGGATTGTGGCAGGTTGCATGAAAGAAAATTAATAGGAAACTAATTCTTTTATTATATGCGTTTTCTCATACATAGAAGAGAGAATAGCTGTTATTTATGCCATTCTTTCAGACAGTTCACATATAACCCAACGTTACATTTGCCACACATTGTTTTCTTACATTTGTTTTGTATACTGCGCATTTTTTTTTGTTTTCCTTCAAGAGTTCTTTCTAAGTAATGCTCTATTGGGTTCGTCCTTACGCTTTCGGGAACACGTTTTGACGTTTGCTTTTGTAGAGAAGGTCTAGCATGATTTTTATGATTAGAAGGAGATGCTCGCTGTAAATATGCTCGGACGATATTTCGTCGAAATTCCAATAATGACATAGCTTTGTTAGAATGGCAATATAGTACGTAACGTTTACAACTGTTGTGTCGATTATGTTGGTAAAAATAGGAAAATACCACTTCTTTCCACGAATTTTTATCCTGTATTTGTTAACATTCCAGTCCAGTTTGTCAACACCACCCATAAATTTATTATAGTTACTTATGCAATATACGGTTGAACTTCCTAGTATCCATCTCTCATCAAATAAAAATAAATCCTATGAGAGAGAAAAAGAAACTTGATATCAGCCACAATCCCCAAATGGGTATCGTTATAAAATGATCAATAAAATCATTTCAATAAAAAACAGAAGACTGAGTAAGTAACAGATTGTTACTACAACCTCTAAATTACATATTTATCCACGGTATTTTATTATAAAATAAGAACCAAACCAAAAATATAATGCTTCAAGTATGACAATTTTGTTCCGCTCAACTTACAAACGAATTTCAAATTTGTTTGCTTGTTGTAACGAAACGAAGCACAGAATACACACTTTCCGCCATCCACAATACTGACTGATATTTATATTAGGTTGTTCGGAAAGTAATTTCGTTTTTTTTTTTTGAGAAAAATGAAAAACAATTTTCTTATAATGAATAAATATTTTATTAAATTATATATTGGCCATTCTGGTCCAACACCTCTTGCCATCTTTCTGGTAGTAGCATGATTCCACGCTCATAAAATTTGTGGTCTTTGCTGGCCAAAAACTGATCCAGGTGATTTTTGATCTCTTCATTTGAAGTAAAGGTTTTACCGTCCAAAAAATTTTGCAATGACCGGAACAAATAATAATCCGAAGGCTCCAGATCTGGAGAATATGGTGGTTGTGGCAGTGTATCCCATTCAAGCTGTAAAAGCTTTTAGCGAGTGACCAAACTTGTATGAGGTTTCGCATTATCTTGGTGGAACATTACACCTTTTCTGTTGATTAATTTTGGCCTTTTCTGTTGAAGTGCATCATTCAGTTTGTCCAGCTGATGACAGTAGACTTCCGAATTAATTGTTGTGTTATCCGGTAAAAGCTCAAAAAAAAAACAATTCCTTTAAAATCCCACCAAACAGACAGCATCACCTTTTTTAGATGGATATTGGCTTTCGAAATGCGAATCACAGACGCCAAAGCGATGACACAAATTTCTCTCCGTGAAAACATGGGGAACCCATATATCGAGCTTCGAGGTTAAACCCAGGCCTTTCAAGTGGTCATAAACAGTTGAATTCGATAAATTTAACCTCTCACCGATCTCACGTGTTGTTATTCGCCGATTTGCATCAACTAATGCCTTTATCGTGTCTTTATCAGCTTGAACCGGCCTTTCGGAACATGGTGCATCTTCGACATCAAAATTGCCGGATCGAAATTTTGCAAACCAGTTCTGGCACTGGCGTACTGTCAACACATCTTCTCCATACACACCGGTTAATTTCTTTCCGGCTTGAACAGCATTTTTACCTTTTCTATAGTAAACAAGTAAAATATGACGAAAATGCTGCTTATTGCTCTCCATATTTAAAAGGGCACCAACCAAAAACTACTGCGTAGAATTAATTGAACTTTTTCACACACAAGCCTTGCTATATCAGCTCTCAAAACATATAATGATTATGCAGCTTAAGTGTGAAGTTGGGTTCGAAAAAATACAATTAAATCCTTTGTCGGGAAAAAACGAAATTACTTTCAGAACAACCCAATAGAATATAACAAAACAGTCACGCGTACCAAATATATTTTTTTCATCAAGTGGTGAACGTAAAATTCCAAAATCCCCAAATGGGGATCGTGGCAGCTAATGGGTTAATGAAGCAATGGAGCCTATGAAAAAAATAGAAAGAAGGTATTAAAAAAAAAGAAACAATTACGATAGAAATTAAGCGTTTTGTTATTTTTTAAGAGTAAATAAAGACTGGAAGAGCCTAAATAAGCATTTTTTTTTATACGTCAGTTATTTTGACTAGTGTGGTAAAAATATGTATACTGAAAATGGTGGTAAATCTAGTGTTAAGAAGGAAATCATCGATAAACATAATCGTGGTATGCGTGTAGCAAACATTGCTAAATATTATAATAAATTAACGTCAACGATTTGTACAATATTAAAGTAGAAAGAAGAAATAATGGGATTGGATACTGCTAAAGGGATTACAAGAATATCGAAACAACGGTCACGAGTTTTGGAAGATGTTGAAAAATTGATTTTACTGTGGATAAATGAGAAACAATTAGCAGGTGATATAATAATCGAGAATTTGGTATGCAAAAAAGCTAAAGTTTTGTATAACAATCTCATAAATAAATTGCCAGGTACTTCGGTAAAAAAGGAAGGTTTCAAGGCCAGCAGAGGATGGTTCGATAATTTTAAAAAACGAAATGGGATTTGTACTGTTACGAAACACAGTGAAACTGTGAGTTTCAACTCTAAGGAAAACAAAACGTTCATTGACGAGTTTCACCACTTACCACAGAAAGTTTTTAACTGCAACCGGACAGGACTTTTTTAGAAAATGATGCCTAAAAAGGTTTACTTTGTGGTAGAAGGGAAGACAATGACTATGAAAGACTGTATTACTCTTTTGTTCTGTGCTAATGCAAGCGGTGATTTCAAAGTCAAACCCCTGCTAGTTTATAATTCTGAGAATTCATGAGCTTTCAAAAAAATGTAAGGTACAGAAAAATTAATTAAACGTTATATGGAGATGCAACAGTAAAGCTCGGATCAGTCGTATTTTATTCGTTGAATGGATCAATGAAGTCTTTGGTCCTACCGTGAAAAAATATTTATCAGAAAATAATCTGCCACTCAAAGTTTTGTTAATTATGAACAATGCACCTGGTCATCGTCGTTTAGATCTAAAGAACTATTCACGATTGTGAATTGTCTCGATATCATCGATAAAGCCTGGAATGGGGTCATTAAGGGAATCCTTAATTCTGTTTGGAAAAAATTGTGGTTCACTTGCGTTATTGAAAATAATTTTGTTTATGAACAGGATTTGCCAGTTGTAGATGAAATTGTGTCTTTAGGAAAAACCATGGGATTGGAAGTAAATGAGGATGATATTCAAGAATTGGTGAAAGAACATGAACAGAAATTGACCACAGACGAATTGATGGATCTGCAACGTGAACAACAACAAGAAGTTATGGAAGATACCTTATCTGACAAAGAAGAAGATAATACAACTGAAGAATCTCTCAGTTCAAATAAGATCGAAGAGATGTATACAATCTGAAAAACAGTGCAACATTTTGTTGAAAAATATCATCCAAGTAAAACTGTAAATATCATAAAACTTGTTTAATGATAATGCAATGTTACGTTTCTATCAAATACTTGAAAGGAGGCAAAAACAAGTTAGGTTTCTTGTCGAATTATTACATAAAGAAAAAGATTTGAATGAACCAATGGATAACAGTGCTTTCTTTAGTGATACTTAATCACATTTTGTGTCATGTGTACCACTGGTGATACACGTTGCTTGAAAATCAAGTTTAAGTTATTTATTTAATGTTCTGAAAATCAAATGGTGGTCTGAACGACAAGTTAGGCAAGGAAAGTGTTAAACTTGTTCCATGTGATAAAGTTACTCATTTGCACCTCTTTCGCATCTTTTGTGTATCAATCGCAATTTTTTTGGTTAAAGGTACAGATAAGCCACATTCAAAATAAACGGCCAATTTCAATTTTACTTATTATTAGTATTTTATATTTTATATTATTTTTATATGAGAAAAGTAATTATAGAACGAGTGATATTTTTCGTTATTTCTTCTAGGGAAATTCGTTACGGTGCTTTGAATTGCAAATGCATTTCCGGTACGAATTATACTTGCAAACCAAGGTTCCATACATACATATAATGTATATATATATATGTGTTCCGAGCTTTCAGTACTTTTCTATTCTTTACCATTATTCGCGTGTATCGTATACATTAATATGTAATCTTAACTTTATTACGTTTCCATGCGATTTCAGGATTACCTTTTATTTCATTAATGACTAAAACTGCATACGTCTTTCACCTTTATCAGCAATCAAAGTATAACTGAATACTCGTTTGTACCTTTTTTAGATTCCATTTTTGTTGTTGTCTATAGACAACAACCGTACCAAACATGAAATAATTGCATAGATGAAATGTATGTGCCCATAATTATGAAAGTGGTTTGAGATAAATGAATTCTGATATTGAAATAATAAACATTATCTAACAAATCATTTTTGACAATACAGGTAACCCTCCTATAACACTGTAGATAGGTACCTAGAAAAATGCAGTGTTGTGTGAAACCGTGTTGTATGAGACTTTTGTTTTCAGACCATGGAGATGAAAAGAAATACTTTTTTCAACACTGTATTTTTAAGACGGCAATCCTCGTCGTGGCTGTAGAAGTACAGTGTTATACAAAGGTTTTTTTGAAAGTAAACCGTGTTATAAGATACCATGTTGTAGGAGGGCTACATGTATCATGAAAATTACATTGAATTTATTTAGTTTAAAATAATATGATATGAAATAACTGATAAACTTATTTTTTGTTTTAATTTTGACTTACAATTAGATCACGTTTATAATTATGGGCACATATGTTCTGTCTGGTGAAATTATTTCAAGATATACTGACCTACGTTCCTCTCATGCAAGTAGATTCTTTAGAGTAGTTGTTGGTCACAGCCAAGCAAGAATGATTCATTGTCGCGACGCGGCGCGACAAATAGGTCAACCATTCCTCGCGAATCAGTCTAGCTAACCTTTCATTACAAACTATTTATATCTCATAAAATAAAACTGACATGAGAGAAAGAGATAGACAGAGAAAGAGAGAGAAAGAAATATTGGAAAGTAGAAAATAAGAGAAAGAAGAAAAATAGGTCGAAGGTGTAGGCTTGTCGTTTAGCTTGAAAGGACTAATAAAAAGCAAACATAATACTATGTCACGCAAACCCAAATGCAGAAACATTTTCTATCGATTTATGTTAATCTACGTTCCAGTTTTTTTTTTTTTCATTTTTTTTCTCTCTATTCCTATAGTTATAATATATAACTATAAACTATATAATATAATAGAATGCTCTCCGGCCACACATTGCTGTGGTTTTGTTTTAAAATGTTGATTTAATATAATTCTAAACTATATTTAGTAAATTATAATAACACACTAAATAATATCACAATTACAATGGAATACATAAAATAATAATACTCGAAAAAATATACAAAAAATAAGGTTAGTTATGTCATATATAAATCTGAAAAAATCGTGAAATAATTGAATTTTACAATTTTACAATAGTATTACTACTATTATTATTATTAACCGGCATTAGGAACTCGAAAGTTCATTGCCGCAAATACCAAATCCCGCCATTATTCCCGTCACTGAGCGCGATCCTTCCATTTGACTTTACCCGACACGAATTCCCAAAGGTAGTCCTCACCCGGAGATCCGAACGGGGGACTAGTTTACCTCCGGAAAATGTTACCCTAGTAGAATCCGTGGCAGTTTTCTTTGTTTCTTGATAAAGTCTTTTTACGGAGTGGGGTAATCAGACCTACGCCCAACCCCCGAACAAAAGGGCCAATTCCAAGTCGGCTGTCCGCGACTGCTTATTCAATTTATTCGAGCCTAACCTCCGTCCCTATGCAGGACCCAGAGGCCCTTCCTCTATCCGCAACCTGAAGACGCGCTGTGTCGTGGTGACTGGGACCCACCCACTCCGGGGACCACTACATACTAATTTTCCTTCCCTGAGACTAGCAGCTGTTATGCTAACACAGAATTGTAATACAGCACCATCTATTACAAAATTACGATACCTGAAGACCTAATATAATCTTTAAATAATAAATCCTTAAATTAGCAATAAAAAATAATTTCATTATGATGTAATACTGACTTTTTATGTGTATATTCAATATAATTCTAAACTATTTACTTAATTATAACGATGCACAAAATAATATCGTAATTACAATTGAATACATAAAATAATAATACTCGAAAAAACATAAAAAGTAAGCTTAGTTATGTAATATACAAATCTGAAAAAATCGTGAAATAATTGAATTGTAATACAGCACCATCTATTAAAAAATTACAGTACCTGAAGACCTAAATAACCTTTAAATAATAAATCTTTAAATTAGCAATAAAAAACAAAAATCATCGCTATAAAAACTATCTTATATACTAAATTGAAAAAAAAAAACACATAAAATAAAATATAAACAAATTTATTAACCTATTCAGGGACGATTTTTTTATAGCCAGAAGAAAATGATTTAATGTTTTTTTCTTTTTCTTTAACTGTACATCGGAAATAGTGCAGCCAAACCAAATGTTTACTTCTCTAATTGAGTTATCAAATTTTTGTTTTATTTATTATTGACATTAACTATAATTATAAAAAAACTAAACATCCACATATGTGGCAAAGAGGTTAAAATCGGTTCATTAGTTTCGAAGTTCATTAGAAACCATCAATGTGATACACTGAATTTTTATATATAAAGATATAATTACTATAAACTATATAATTATAGTTATATAGAGAATAAAATAAATAATTTATTATATGATTTTTAGGTTCACGCCAAGCACGAGGAAAAAACGGAAAGCAAATCCGTTTACAGGGAATACAATCGTGAATTTTTGCTACCCAAAGGAACGAATCCAGAAAGCATCAAGTCATCTTTGAGCAAGGATGGTGTTTTAACCGTTGAAGCTCCTCTACCGGCTATTGGTTCTGGCGAAAAATTAATCCCCATCGCGCATCAATAAAAAATTACAAAAAATTTTTCCATCCACCGACCGACCCTCCTTTCTCTCTTGTCCCAAATTCATACAACCTTCTATTATCCCAAAAAAAGAGCTTTTTTTTTTGAAAAGCTTGTCTTCTTCCATACCGAATAACAGAAAGAAACGTTGCGAAAAACAAACCAAAACAAAAATAAAAAAAAACTCGCCAACTTTCTACCCCTAAAAATATTATCCCAATACGACTCAAAATCATCTGATACTTTTTAACACTATTTTTTTTTCGACTTTAATGATCAAGAAACAAAATGATTCGATCGGACATAATAATCTTTTTTCGATGAATTTATAAACGTTTTCTTAAAAGAGAAAATATATGTTTGCGCGCAAAAATAAAAAAAAAAATAAAAAAAGAAGTGATGGAACGTGCAAAAGATAAATGATATCAAAAAGTATAGAGATAATATTACTAATTATATTATATATATATATACGCGCACTCGCACGCGCACATACATATATTAAATATTTGTAAAAAAAAAAAAAAAGGGAAAAAAAGATGTTTTTCATTTTTACGCGTAAATTGGATAACTTTGTTTGATATGATATACACTTGTAATACTCTTGAAAAAAAAAAATAATGCGTTAATTGCTTAGAGAGAGATATGCAATGCCTTTGACAACTTGTCTCTTTTTTTATTAAAATGTATTTTTTTGATTGCGTATATGTACGCACGTGTATCCGTATAATTCGCTTCGAAAGCATTGGTATATACGTGTTGTTGTTTTTTAGTTTTGCACCATCATCACCAGGAGCTTATAATACGTGTAAATGGAAGATGATCGATTTCTCGTATCGATATTATAACTTATATACTTGTTAGTTTAGATGTACGTTAAAAAGACCCGTAACAACGATGCTTAACGTAATTTAAAGTTTATTATGATCAATTATTATTTATGAGTATGTTAATCGTCGAAGGTAACGCAAGGAATATGAAAGTTTCGATAAAAATAAAATTAAAAAAAAAAAAATAAAAAAAAAAACAAGCACGACGAATGTAGTAAGTGATATATTTCTCTTTTTGTTGTTTTTTTTTAACATCTTTTATTTAACAAAAAATATTCTGTCGCTTTGTACAGAGAGTATTTGTAATATGCGAATATAATTATATTCTTAGTACCATCGTACCAATCTTCTTGCATAATTCTTACACGGCCTTTTTTTTTTTGCTTTTCTTCCTTTTTCTTTTCTTTTTAAATAACACCTTAAAAAGTACATATACTAATTTACATCGTAAAAAATAACAATATTAAACAACGAGTGATAATGATTGATAATGTTTTAGTAGAACGTATTGAAGAAACGAAGATAACGTTTGATCATCGATAAAATTAGCTAGACACGTTTTCTCCAATAACTTATGCCTACCATTTATTATTTTGCGAGTATAATGATACGAATGATAAGAGGAATACGTTTTACGCTTATTCTATTTATTTGATTTTTTTCATTCTGGTTATTTCTAATGCTTACAAACGATTCGATTTGACTTTCTTTCTTGCAGTGCTATTTTCTTCTTCATTTGTTCATTTTGATTTGATACAGATCTCTTTTTCTACAGATCTACAGATCTGTTTTTTTTTTTTTGGCATAGTTATCTACAAGTTAATTTTTACGTCTAGACGCGATAAAATAATATAATACAAGAAATGATTGTGAATTAAATTATTAAATAATTGGTAATCGTCAAATATTTAAAGAAATTTAGTTCAATGATTTAAAAAATAAGTGTATCGAGTGCTAGTCGGGTCAATTAGTATCTTTCGATAAATATTGTATAGAAATGTAAAAATGTCTTGATTTTATAGACCCGGTATCTCCGCAGAAAATAATGGTGCATCAGCCGCTGTGAAAGTAGGAGATTTTCCTTCTCTAGCAATACGTAAAGCTTGATGCACCGATACGGTATCCAGCTCCTTTTGATTAGGTTTCTCATTGTCGAGACAAATATCAACTGCTCTCTTTCCGAAGGGCTCCAATACTTTGACTCGATAGTCAACTATAGTTGATACAGGATTACCGGTTAATCTCAAGTCTTCGAGACAAGGCAAGTGACCGATATTTTTGACTTCTTCGATTTTCTCAATACGATTACAACTTACATCGAGACCTTCCAAAGAGTACAACTTAGAGAAACTGGCCAATGAGGTTAACTTATTTTGCGACAAATCTATGTAAACTATGTAACCTAGTTTAGTATGCAAATCATCGGGTAAGCTGGTAAAGTTATTCGATGCCAGATAGATCTGAGATAATCTTGGTAATAAGGTAACGTTTGATATCTCGGATAAAAGATTATTATTTAAAACGAGAACTTCTATGTGTGGCATCAATCTGATAGCTTCGTCTATGACTTCTATTCGATTGTCACTGAGATCCAAATGAGTTACTTTTAACCACACGTGAGAATCATTCGCGTTGTTTATATGTTTGTGAACTTCCTCGCACATTGCAAGCTCGACGATATTTCGTAGTTTAGTGTTAGTAACTCTGAGAACTTTAACGGTATCCCGAACATTTCCCATATTATAGATCTTATCAACGGGATATCGGTCTATCGTTAATTCTTCGAGATTTTTAAAACTCGACAATTCGATGGATAAAGAGGAGGAATAGATGTTGCTATTTTTATACGGCTCGGTACTACCTAATATCGTTAAATTACTCAAATGACTATTAAAATCCAAAACATGACTAAAGTCATATTTCTTATCTACGACCTCCATGATAGGACACGGATGTTTTAATCTTTCGCTAATCGCATATAACTGAAAGAATAGATATAGATTAGTTTTACTTATTGCTCAAATTTTATTCTTACGAGGATGATAAAAGAGATGACAGAAATTTGACTTACCTCTACCGGATTAAATTTGTAACTTTTAGAATTCTCTAATAAGTTACAGCCTTCGGTGAACAATTCCAAGGCCATGCTTTGTAGTAGAAAAAATATATCGTAGATGTGTAGATCCAAGAAGACGGCTAATTCCCTGGGCATAGCTTTCTTCAAATAATTGTAAACGGCGTTCAAGTATTTCTCCAAACTGGCCCTGCGCTTTTCCACGAAGGCTTCGCATTTATTACCAATTAGTTTCTTCGGTGGTAAGATATCCTTTTCCACGCAGTGCTCCGTAACCAATTTTTCATGAAGTTCCACAAAGTCGTTGTACCTTTTAAACGTAAACAATTATCATTAACTTTGCAAACATTTGTAATACAAAATATGCCACTGATGCGTCATCTAAAGGTACAACTTTAACCTGTTAACTGGGGAATTCCCTCTTTAATTTTACGCACCTTTTTTTATTATTTATTTATTATTATTTATGCTTAAAATAAATGAAAGGACTGTGAAATATATATTTTTTCTATATAGAAAATACGTAATGTACGTTTGACGTATATATACGTCCCGGACGGTTAACAGGTTAAAAGCAATCCAATGAAGACAAATGTGAAAAGAAATATATAGACAGATAGTTATAAGCTCTAAGGTTTACATTTAATATTTTACCTGTGCTTCACGGTCCACTTGACGGAAACTACCTTAACCTCAATACAGTAATAGGTGATACCATCCAAATTTTCAACCGATGGTATTTTGATATTAACATTTTCCTGATTTAAAAGGAGACACGCCATTACATTTAACTTATTGCACAAAGTTCTTGTTCGAAATGACACTTAAGTTGATTTGATTGAGAGGTTATCTCACTCGGTTGAACTGAAATCACTTTGATATCAACCACGCTATTTTCATTTATTCAAATGAGATACACTTTGCGTATCAATTTGGCCACTTTACTTGCATTTTATTTATCTAACACACGCTTCTTTTACGATAAAATTCTCTTCACCGCTCAGTCGTCCTGCGTTTAAGCATTTAATTCATCTTTGTGGATATATTGTTATTAATGAGTCAGTCGTGAACTATACCCTACTGTTACTTTGATCAATTACGTCATCATGGCGGCTAAATTCAAAACCTCTTATAGCATATGCAAGGTGTCCTATATAACTGTATTTATGATTTTTCAACAACTTGCGATAATTTCATAAGAAAATAGTTTAAACAAACGTTTATCTGTTTTTGATTGACTATAAGTTGCAAAAATTATAAAATGTTTTTTAAGACTATCTTCAGTTTTTTTTTAAATGACACCCCATATTTTTGACCAAAGGTCGTAGTCTAACTAGTTCGTTAAATTCGTATTAAAAATCTATTTAGAAGTAAAAATAATAATCATGTTTGAGGAAGAAGCAAATATTATAATATTGTTAAAATTTATTCATTCTTATGATAAAAAAAAAAAAAGATTTCTGTTGCATTAATTTTTAATCATTTAACGAGAATATATTCGGCATTTTTTATTTTATTTCAAATAGATGTTTAACCCTTTCGCACCGGTTAGGACATATGCTGTCTCAGTCGGGACAATTTTTCAATCAATTCAAAATTCAATTGTGAAATCACTGTTGTTGATAGTGCACTGTTATGGGGACATTTATGCGTCTCCAAGTCCTTCAATCTTTTAGGCATAAAAGTTTTTTTCTCTAACAATCGCTTGGAGGAGAAATGAACTGATCTTTGTAATGGGACGCACTCGGACTGATTTTTCACCGTATTGAAAGGGTTAGGGATCCTGTAGGAGGGATGCGCCATTCATATTCAGCTCATGTGCCATTGGCTGAAAATTTTGAGGGACCGCTTGAATTTATAATAATTTTTTCGTCTAACCTATTCTATTTTAATATAAATTTTTAATTATCATTAAATATAGTTCATTTTTTTTCTGTATTTGATGCCATTCATTATTTCATAATTATTTCAATGTTTGAATCATTCGCTCGCAAAATCGAGTTCCGCTCCCCCAGCAATGTACATGGTGCATCCCTCCTATAGGATCCCTAGAAAGGGTTAAATTATGTTGCTATCTACCGGTAGTAACTATTACTTTGTTTTACCGAATGTGTAAACATTTGTTGTCATCTAAATGAAAAAGCACGTATTATGTATGTTTTAATTTAATGCTGTGGCGCTAGATGGTGCCATAAGTTTTCTTTCTGCTATGTTTATTACCTTGGATAAAATAAACATGGCCACTTGTTAATTAATCAACTTGTTCCCATTCGTACGATAATTATCGTACACGTCACATAATTTGAAACAATGTTCGATCGTACATCCAACTTTGATTATGTGACAAAAATGTACGAAAATTTGAGTTTTTGTACGATAATTGTACGATAATTTACGATAATTCGATAATTTTCGAAATATCTCGATTATGGCCTCCTATTGCCCTACACAGTCTTATTTATGTATCGTTGCAATTAATATATTTAGTAATTCCATTATATTGATATTATATTGATAGATTTGAAAGTAGGATTCTTCGATATACATCAATGCATCGAAAAGTCGATATTTACTACTCGGTATTCGATGGTCAAACCATAGTCGCATAGTCGCATAGTCACCTTCGAGTTGCTCAAATTAAAAATTAAAAGGACAAAAGACAAGAAGACTAAAAAAAAAAACAACAAAAAATAGGTCATCAAATCACGAAAATATACTTTCTTTTTGCACTTTTTCGATAATTTTACGGCACTGTGTCGATCAGACAAGCAAAAGTTTCTGGGGATCACTGATAGTGTAAACTATTTAGTATTATAATTGTAAGAAATGTAATATTCAAGTAAATAAAATTTAAATAAAATTTTATAAAAATATAGTAATATCTTATTTTGTACACTAAGAAGTTTTGAGTCGAGCATTTAAAGTGTATAAAATTTCCTCAATTTCATTATTGCACAGAAGCGTTAAAATAATTATCTTAAAGAAAAACAACTAGTAAGATCAGAACGTTCCGAAATTTATATAAACAACATTTAATAAAAGAAATTTCGTAGAGGAGAACATGCCAGTCTGAAGGAAAATTTTAAAGAGGACGATACACAGAGCATACATTTCACGCTTTTAGACAACAGTAGACATTACCATCGATAATTTTACAATTATTTTAATATTCCAATAGATTCTACATATATAACCAGAAAATTTTTTGATTAGAAAAATATTTTTAAGTTATAACGAAAAATACTTTTGCTATCTACAAATCACAGATTTGTTATGTTTTATAAGAAGTATTATGTAAAAATCTCTCAAATGTTGTTTTTCAAAGATTGTCAGAAAAAAACAGAAGTAAAAAGTGAATAAAATAAGGATTAATTTTCAACCTGAAAACAATAGACAATAAAAAGGATAATTAATTTTAAGTAGGATAAAGATAATATTTGTTATAAAAACAAGATAATAAAACATTTATCTTCTATGAAAAGGTCTCGATACTTCAATCGTATCCATCGGGTCTTTACCTAAAATAGGGATCCTATAGGAGGAATGCGCCATGTACATTGCTGGGGGAGCGGAACTCGATTTTGCGCGCGAATGATTCAAACATTGAAATAATTATGAAATAATGAATTGCATCAAATACAGAAAAAAATGAACTATATTTAATGATAATTAAAAATTTATATTAAAATAGAATAGGTTAGACGAAAAAATTATTATAAATTCAAGCGGTCCCCCAAAATTTTCAGCCAATGGCACATGAGCTGAATATGAATGGCGCATCCCTCCTACAGGATCCCTAACCTAAAAATACTCGCAATCCCCTCATGTAAGTAGTACAAAAACACTCCCAATCAATATCAGCAACATTAAAGAAGAACGACACTCTTATCAACCACAGATAATTTGTCTCATAACTTCAAGACATTATCGTTTGTAAATTCCCACTTATTATTTGTAAAGAAACTAGTTACATTTTCAAACTTTGATATTTTTCTGTAGATATTAAGCAATCTGAAAAAAAGATACCATTAATTTATTTATGTTCCTTATTATCGACGGATAATAAATAGATTTTTAAACTAAATATCATTATAAAACACATTGGTTTTCTTCCGCTGAGATATAATAAGAAATCCACTATAGTTGCTGGTATTCAGTGCAAAAAGATTGTCAAAAAAAATCGAAATAATAATTCGTGTTAAACCATAAGGTGCCAAACCAGAACACTTTTTTCGACGGGACTTCAAGTCCCTCAAAGAATATATAATTCTTCATAGTACCCCAAGTAATTGGTCTTTAAACGAAGGAAACAGAATTATAAACTAGAATTTCATCGTAAACGGATAAGTATTTGTTAACCCTGCTGGAAAGATTAACAACATGTCATATGAATACATGCGATAAAAGTTCTATCTTATTTATTGTAAATGATATTTTAAGAGATTAATTAAAAGTTGATATAAGAGATGATTCGAATAAGAAAAAAAAAATTACCGTTTCTGCGCAACACTCCATGCTGCAGCAATAATGTTGTTAAGGATGATAAAATGATTATTGATTGGAGATTCACGAAACGTAATCGACTAAAAAATGATAAAGCGTAATTGACTAAGAGATGTCGAATATATGATAAGAACTAGAGTGATAGAAATTCATAAATGATAATCTAGAATATATAAGAATAGTATATGCATGTATTAGTAGCTCACAAGGACACAAAAACCTTCTAGAATAGAGATGCATAGTAAACTTGGGCCAGCTAAAGCCAAAGAGTGGGGGTAGCTTTGGTATGTCCACGAAGGACTTTTGGGGGATATAAAAGCCAGAGAACATCGCCCCCGCGGTCACTTATAGTTTTCTAGTCACTTATATTTTTCACCAGTCGCTTATAGTTTTCACTTCACTTACAGTTTTCACTCTTCATTTATATTTTTACCAGTCACTTATAGTTCAGTTGTTACTTATAGTTATTCAGTAGATTTTTCTCATTCGCTACTAGCGTTCAAGCTATTCATTGTTGAATATTATTCAATTCTATTAATTAATTAAACGATAAATAATTCGCCTATATCGAGTTATTGTGTTATTCAACCTTCCATTGGAAAGAAGCAGCCCCAAGCTTCCTGCACAATCTCGAGATCAATCTACTACTGTACGACAAGCTGTAAGTCATAAACCTCTTTTATTTTTATTAAAACCATTCTTAATCAGAGCTGCGGTTACCAATATTTTTCCTCTAAACCAAACCTTCCTCAATCCACCTCTTTACTGTACGCACTTTGTCATTTTTTATCACTGTTCAAAACGGAAAAACGAACCAGCCTGGTCCCGGTTAAACTCGGTGAAAGCAGAGTGACCATAAACAGACATTACTTATATTACTTACTTAAACCCGTTCTCTAGGACGTAACAGTTACTATAATAAATTATTAAAAAAAAAAAATAAAAACTGTATTTTCCATATATTTAAAAACGAACAACTTATAATAAAACCATAATTAGAATGAAAAGCATCTATTTCAATCACTTATAAATAATTACTTATCTTTAAAATTTGTCTGTCATCGATAATTACTATAATGTGAAATTTTTCTTATTTTATTTGTATGTAATATTTTTTTTTATTATAAAAAAATTCAAAAAATGGCATTACTAAGTAGCCAAACGTGTCAAGAGGAACTGTTTTCGATGGTACAAGAGCCAAATTATTATAATCAACGGCGTGAAATTGCTACCATTTTTTTCTAGAAAAAAAATTTTCATAACAGGAGGCTTAAAATTTATAGGAAGTCATATAATAGAAAATTTTTTAAGGTAAAAATATTTTATATATGTTTTTATTACCAATCAGATTTGTACATTCGTTATAAGCTTTAAATTATAAATTTTAAAAGAATTTGGATAGTATGTACAATTGTATAGATCTTGTTAGTACTCTTATTATCCTTGAGATTCATATTGTATGAAATAATTAACAAAAGATATTCTTCGAGTTTGAAGTCTATTAATTAATTTTAACTTTCGTACCACATCAATGGAAACTTCCTAGATAGGAAAAATAGCATAGAGTTTTCGTTATACAAAAAGATAAATTATTTTTTTTAGCACAAATATAATTTCTAAAAAACTATTTTAAGCAGATGACTTCCATCTAATAGTACCTGTCTTTAAAAATAACGATCATAATTCTTTATATTTCTCTTTTTCTACTTTTCTCTTTACTTATATATGTAAACTTAGACAATATTGTTTTATTTTATAAGAATTAATTTTCGGCTAAAAGCTTTTACTATAAATGCCATTGCTGCCGTTTACAGATGTTATCCAGAAATAAAAATGATTTATTTGTTGATAAGGGCAAAGAAACAGAAAGATCCGCAAATTCGATTTAAAGAATATTTCAATGATGTTGTGAGTAAAGTTGCCTGCTTTGTATTAATTGTTATGCGAATAAAAGTTATAACCTATATTACAGTTTGTATTTAAATCTTTAGATTTTTGATAGATTGAAGAGAGAGCAAAAAGATGTCGAAAAGAAAATTATTCTGATTGAAGGAGACACGAGTCTATTGAATTTAGGATTGTCGGAGAAGGACCGCGATCGTATTAAAGATACCGACTTAATTTTTCACAGTGCAGCATCCGTCCGTTTTATGGAAAATCTTCGTTTTATAGTTAATACAAATATTAGAGGAACAAGGGATCTCCTGTTGCTTGCACAGGAGGTGACACGCTTAAAGGTACATATTTTCTAGTTAAACCATCTGTATACAAATGCATATTTTAACAACAATTCTCCACTAGATCAATTTATTTATATATTGACATTAGTTTACTTTGATAAACAAATTGTTCTAATTTTATAATTATTTTGTTATTTAGGCCTTTGTTTATGTTTCAACAGCTTATTCGCACTGTGTATACAATAATATCGAAGAAAAATTTTATAAGCTATTTATGAAGAAAGAAGACATAATTAGATTGACAGAGACATTAACCCAAGACTAATTAGATTTAATTACCCCGATGTAATAAAACCTAAAAATGTATTGACTTCTTTTAGATATAAGTCGATAAGCATATTCGTTTATTTTGCAGGCTACTGGATAAGTGGCCCAACACTTACGCATTTTCAAAAGCAATCTATGAAGATAGTATACGGTAATATTCAAATAGAATTCCAACTTGCATCGTTCAGTCATTCCTTGTTGTTCCAACGAAAAAGGAACCGATTGTTGGTTGGATAAATAATATCTATGGACTAACAGGTGTAACTTATGGTAGCTCGTCCGGTATTTTACGAACGCTGTATTGTAATAGTAACTTAATTTGCGATATAATTCCTGCCGACTACGTTATCAATAACATTATTGCTGCAGCATGGGACGTCGCACAAAAACGGTGATTTGTTTTTTTTCTTTTTTAAATTATCACCAAAAACTATACTATATTTTAGGTTGGAAATAATCACACGAAATAAACAAATTTCATTAAAATCGGTTAAGTTGTTTTGGAGTTCATCGTAAACAAACAATTTGACACTGAATTTTTATATATACAGTTGAGAGAAATTTAAACATAACTCGGAAATACAAGTTTTGACATTATTTTACATTTTCAATAGAAATCGAAACGATTAGTTTGTTAAGATCGTTTTCTAGCATTACAAAAAGGAAAAATACTTTTATGACCTCTTTTACCATTTATTAATAGTAATTATATTACTCACCTAGGGAGGTAAAGTAAGAAATGTCAACAAACATGTGCTCTGAGGCTTTCTTATTTACTGCCCATGGTGAGTATACATTTTTTCTGCTCGACGTAGGCGGAAAGCGGCAACTTCGTTTTGAACAGCGGGAGAAAAGTTGACGCCTTTCACCCGGAGGGAAGAAAAAACGTTTAATTTAAAATATTATTGACGGAATAAACATGTTGCACCATCTACTAAGAAAAATATGCAGAATTTTTTAACCCTAGTAGCCGCAGTACATTTCTATTATATATAAGTATTGCTTCCAATTATTCTTAGTAAGTATTACAAGATTTTATTTTTGTCTCCATTGCATGTAAGGCTCTGTGTTTTTCAGCGATCTATATAAAGGACTTTGATATTTTCAGCCCTTCTCTACGTATTATAGGCATAGTATATTTCTATTATACAGTATATTTTAATTAACGTATATACTAGTTAACAAATTCATATAAAAATTTGATTAAATTATTTCTTTATCTCGACCATCATTTTTTTGTCACATATCATTAGTTATTCACTACAGATAATTAAATGTCTATCAAATACATGGGCATTCTCCTAACTTTTTTAATTTAATTGAAAAGATTATATTATTTTTAAGCAATTTTTCAATTGAAGATTTTCTGTTACTATATAAACATATCATCGATGAGGCATTCGTAATTACATATTTTTTGCATTATTTTAATATTTATATAAATGTTAAGAGTTAAGAAATTTCTTCTTATGAGGTACTATTTGCAGTTATTGTATTCTTCATAAGGACCGATTGATAAATTCTTATTTTTTTACTTACACATTTTCTACGTTCTAAATCTTTCTAGGTACAGATATTAAAAATTTTTTTATTCCACTTATAATTACTAAATATTATTTAAACTATAAAAACAGATTCCAACTTTTAAATACTTGCTATACTTTAAATATAGAGAAATATTCTCGTTAAAAAAATGAAGTTAAATAGTAACAATATTTCGAAGCTATAGGGAAAAATACTTATTCTATAAGCAAATAATTAACTTATTCTATCTAATAACAAATGAAAAAATATCGTTTTATTTTCGTTTTTTATAGATTGTCAGAAATAAAATATGTAAGTAAAAAGAAAATATTATAAGGAATATAAAATCAAAGGAATCAAAAAACATGAATAAAACACTTCAATGTATAATGAGCTATTTGGAACCTGGAAACAATAAACAATAAAATCGATAATTAATTTTAAATATGATAAAAATAATATTTGTTATAAAAACAAAATAATAAGACATTTACCCTTTATAAAAAGATTTTGATTCTTCAATTGTATCCATCGTTTCTTTACCTAAAAATACTCCAACTCCCCTCATGTAAGTAATAGAAAAACATTGCCAATCAATATCAGCAACATTAAAGAAGAAGTTTTTTTTATTGACCATAGATAATTTGTCCCATAATATCAAGACATTATCGTTTGTATATTCCCATTCGTTAGTTGTAAAGAAATTCATTACGCGTTAAAAGTTTTTTATTTTTCTGTAGATATTAATCAATCTGAAAAATTATAACATTTATTTATTTATGTTTCTTTTTATATATTTAAAGTATTTATATATTTTATATATTTAGATTGATAATAAATCGCTTTTTAATCTAAATATCGTTATAAATTACATTGGCTTTCTTCAGCTGAGATATAATAAGAGGTCCACTATAGTTGCAGGTATCCAGTGCAAAAAAATTGTCAAAAAAATATGGAAAGTTTTTGTTCATCCATAAAGAGAAGTACCATACCACATTTTTCCATGGAACATCAAGTGCGTTAGCTCTTAGATAATTTTCTATAGTAGCACAAGTAATTGGACTTTGAACAGAGAAAACAGCATTATAAATTGGAATTTCATCGTCAACTGGTAAGTATTTGTTATCTCTGCTGGAAAGTATAACACTCTGTGATATGGATCTACAATAAAAGTTCTTTTTTATTCACTGTAAATGTTATTTAAAAAGTTGAAGAATAGGTTGCTTTTAGTGTTAGTTCAAAAAAGAAAAAAAAAATTACCGTTTCTGTGTAACGTCCCATGCTACAGTAATAATGTTGTTGACAACATAATCGGCAGGAATTATGTTGCAAATTAGATTTTCATCACAATGCAGTGTTCGTAAAACACCGGTCGAGCTACCATAAGTTACACCTGTTAGTCCATAGATATTATTTATCCAACCAACAATCTGTTCCTTTTTCGTTGGAACAACAAGGAATGGCTGAACGATGCAAATTGGAATTCTATTTGAATATTACCGTATACTATCTTCAYAGATTGCTTTTGAAAATGCGTAAGTGTTGGGCCACTTATCCAGTAGCCTGCAAAATAAACGAATATGCTTATCGACTTATATCTAAAAGAAGTCAATATATTTTTAGGTTATATTACTTTGGGCTAATTAAATCTAATTGATCTTCCGCCAAAATCTCTGTTAATCTAATTATGTCTTCTGTCTTTATAGGTGGCTTATAGAATTTTACTTCGATCTTATTGTAAACACAATGCGAGTAAGCCGTTGAAACATAAACAAAGGCATAAAGAATTAAATTATTATAAAATTAGAACGATTTATTTTTCAAATTACACTAATGTCTATAATTTAATAAATTGATCTGTGTGGAATTGTGCTTAACACTAGATTGTCTAAACAAGTCATTTTGACTGCTTTTCATTTTCAACTAGAAAAAAAAGTATGTATATAATGATAAATTTTTTTAGAATTGTGTTTTGACTTTTTATACAACATATAAATGCGTTTTTTAATCATTTTTTTATCTCCCCCCTTCCTTATTTCCGGTATATATATATATGTTATATCTAAATTGCCCGAAAGCAGTCATTTTAACTACATGGGAAATTTTAAATAATCAAGTGATTTTTATTTATAAATTGAGTTATTTATGGTCAGCAAAGTTGGGTCCCGAATTTTTTAGAGAAACTATGGCCGGAGAAAAGTTCAAGCAAATCCTACGATTTATTTTTACAAAAATAAACGATTTAGTTTTGACGAAAGAACCGAAAGATGTAGGCGCCTACAAACAAATAAATTTGCCTTGGTTTCGAAAATATGGGATAAGTTCATTAAAAACAGTCAAGCTTGCTATCAACCAGGGCAAAATATAACAATTGATGAACAATTATTTTTTTCAAAAGCCAGGTGCAGATTTAACACAGTATATACCTAATAAACCCAACAAATTTTGCATCAAATTCTGATTTTTTTTCTTTTATTTTGCATTAGGTGTTAATAGCAAATATGTTTTAAATGGTTTTTCTTAATTAGGAAAAAATGAACATTATTATGGAAAGGTGAACTACGACCATCGTTAATGCTTCTAAATGAACACGTTGTTCTGAAACTTGTCGAGCCATATACAAGCTGTGAAAGAAATATTACGACCGATAACTTTTTCACTAGCATGTCAAAATTAGCCAAAACAAAATTATTGACCAAAAAAAACAACTCTAATTGGAACTATTAGAGGAAACAATATTCAGAGACAGAAATCAGTACAGGTGAAAGTTTGATGATGAATATCTTTTGAACGCTTAATTTAATCGCTAAAACATAAGACACCATTTTTATAGAGCACTTAATTTCCTACAAAAATTTATATTGCGCATTTTATAATAGTCATTTATTGTCGAGTTATAAAAT